CCGCGCCGTTTGCCGCTACTAGACTTGACGCCACTTCGCTGGCCGGCCTGCTGCGAGTTGTTCGTCGACGGGCGTCCGACCATGGGGCTCGCCGACTCGGGCGGCCCCAGGAGAAACTCGGGCAGGCCGAGCACTCTATGCAGCATCGGCCAGACCGGCCGCACGTACTGTTTGAGAACCTGATGGAAAGGTGTCTCTGTGTTCGTCTCGCCCCAAACCTGCTTAAATAAAGACGAGAGCAGCTTCAGCAAGGGACCAAATGCCGTCCTCCGGGCCGTGTCGAACTTGGCGGTGGCGCAATAGCCGCGCCGCCTCGCTTCTCCGAGAACACTTTGCACCAAGAAGCTCTTTCCAAGTCCCCCAGCTCCTTCAATGGCGACGACCTCGCACTGCCCACGCCGGGAGCCGCTAGACTCGGTCATGCCCCCCATCCGGCCACTCTCGGGACCGCCAGTGCTCTCCACGGCGCTCGCTGTTTCTACTGATATTGAGTGATGTCTCTCCCACGGTCTCGTCGGTCGGAGCTGGGGCCCAGATTGGTTCGAGGATACAGTCTCGTTTGATAGGGTCTGCGTATCAGACAAGATGGACGGGTGGAAGCTGTTTCTGGGAAATTTATATTCTGACGATCCACCGCCCATGTTGAAAGAGCCGCTCCTTCTGTTGGTGCCCTCTACAGAGCGTACAGAGCTTGCGCCCCCTTCGCTCGAGACGTCGTCGAGGACGACCAGTTCATTGGCCAGGCCGGATCCGTCCGGGAAGCGATTTCGGTTGCTGCCGAGAGAATGATTGCGCGAAACACGGTCGATGACTTTGACGAGCTCGCTCTGCTCTGTAGTCCGACCAATCATGTTTGTCGGGAGTATAAAGAACGACGAGATGTCCTTGGTCCCAATCTCCAAGTCTTTGAGCGCCGTCGAGTCGCCATCGGAAAGCAGCTGCTGAACCTTGACCAGGTCGTGGCGGAGCCCGCTTGCCGAGTGATAACGATCCGCGACATTCTTGGCCGTGCACTTTTGGATAATGCGCCCGATGACATCTGGAATGTCCATCCGCACCGTAGCCACGTTGGGCACCCTTCGGCCGAGCACGCCCTGGACGATGTCCATGGGGGTGTCCCCGGCATACACGGGCTGTTGTGTTAGCAGAGTCCACATTAAAATGCCCAACGAGTAGATATCAGTCCGGGTATCGGGTTCCGCTGGCATTCGGCCAGTCTGTTCAGGACTAATGTAAAGGAGCTTGTTCTTGACGCCAACCTCCTTGGAGAGCGTCAACCAGCCGGTGCTGGTTAATCCATGCTCAAAGGACCTCAACCCAGTGCCAAAAGCCACAATCCTGACCTTGTTCTCCTCGGCGTTGAAGTGAAACGCGTCCCCCCGGATCTCACCGTGAATAATGCCCTGCCCATGATGAAGAATCTCCAAGCACTGCACAGCGCCGATGGCGAAATCCAAAAAGTATTCGAGGTTTATCGGCGGTCGTAGATGACTAGACGTTGCGGGGCGGTATGAGACGTACGCATCTCCTTCTTTTCGCGCCTGATAGAAAGCAGGTCCAAAGTCTAGGACTTTGCCCAAGTAGTTGGCACCTGGGTACTGATAGATGGCGACGGTGATGTGATTACGATCTCCAGGGCCGGGATTCAGTCGAAGTAGATCAATGGGCTTGGCAATATGCTCGCCTAGGGGGTCGGCCGTCCCCGCAACGTTCTTGGCGATTTGAAAAGCCCGTTCTTCTCGGAGATTGTGCGACGACACGCGGGCGACAACCGACTCTTCAACTATGGGAGGGCCATCGGCGGATGACGGCGGCGACGAAATGGGCGTCGACGGACGGTGCGGAAGCGGCGTTTTGGGGGTTTCGGTGCTCTGTGTCTCCGAGGGCGGCACATGGTTGCCATGTTCAGAGGGAGACGGCCGGCCAAATTGTAGCTTCGTGATGGATCCGAGGCTGGATTCGTTGTGCCCTGAGCTCGGAGGCGACGGTTTCGAGGATACAAATCGAGTTCCGAAAACGAGCCTGTTTTGCCATGTCGCCGACGTCAGCTCCTCGCCCAGCTTTTCCGCTTTGAACCGAGGCCAAACAACCAAACATATACATGTAGATATATATATAAATATATACATAGATATGTTTGGCATTCGAACCCGCGCCTCACGTTGAAGAACAAAGCCCACTACCAATGCGGCAAACGAGAAATAAAAATTGTAAGAAAAACCCACCAGAAATCATAGCTCGAGTGGATGGGCTCCTTTGTTTCGTCCCAGGTGTAGCCAGCTATTTGGCGAAGCCGCTCGAATAGTCGAGGCGGCGGCGGGGGCCGCGAGTCGAGGACATCGTCAGGCACCAAAACGGCGCCGTCCATGGTGGGAAACAGTGCTGTCTACAGGACGGCAGCTTCGACTTGGAAGGGAATCTCTGCGACAGTCGGTGGTGGCCGCGGTTTCGCGAGCTGGATGGACAAGGGCTGGTGGTCAAGAACTCAGTGGCTCAGACATGCGGTCGACGAGGCAAACCCAGATTCAGTGCCCATCCTCGGTCGGCCGGCGGCAAAAGGGAAACGCAGGAGAGGGGCAGAAGAAGAAGAAGAAAGGAAGGAACAAAAAAATGATCAAGACTCCGGCGCACGATGATGGCGAAATGCCATGCAGGCAGGCGATATGGCAAGAAAAGCGCGGTGAGGCAATGGAAGAAGCGGTAGTCGAAGCTGTGGCCGCCCAGTCCGAGTCTGGGATAATGACCCAGCCAAGCGTCGTTGTAATAGTGCTGGTGTGGTTGCTGCGGTCCAGTCTGGTGGTGTGCGGTCTGGTGCTGGCTGCTACCGCTGGCGTCTGGTACGGGGTGCGGCGCCCTACTGCTTCGGTGCTAGTGCCAGGTCAATCCAGCACCCTCGCCACGCCATTGGCCTTTTGCGGACGGCTTCGTGCCAACTGGGCATGTGTACAGTGGGTGTATCATGTACTACCAGCATTTCCTGACTGGATTGTGCTGCAGAGCCAGTGTCGATCCACCAGTCTCTCTCGTGCTGCATCCCACCACCGGACGCTCAGCTGTTTCTATTCCTACTACACCCCGGACCGCGCACCAACACGCAAAGATCACCGTGCTATTATTCTGTCGGCTTGTGCACTCGACCATCCTAGCCGTTCTCCTCTCTGCCCGTCAACTCGTCAAGCAGATATATCGACATTGTACTCTGTACATATGTACGAGGCATGTACGCCACTGTTTCTGCAGTGGGCCGCGGCAAAAACCACCAGTCCTCAAGTCCAACAGTTCGATACCGGGGGGCCGCTCGAGCCCGTCAAGACCAACCCTGGAGTGCTACTAGTAGTAGTCAATTTTGAGGAGCAGGAACCAGCAGCGGTTCCCAACGGTGCAGATGGCGCCGGGATTTGCCCTCTGCGCGCAGATCAAGTAGCACCACTCGTCCCAGAATCCACGCGTCGTTGGCCGCCTCTCTCCCGCACGGCTCGTCCACTCGACAAGGTCAAGGTGCCTTGAAAGAAAAGACCCGGCAAGGACAGCTCTTGATGAAATCCAATATCCACGGTTGACCGGCGGCCTGAGTGCGGAACCACCCAGCCAAGCAACCCTTGGACAAAGCCAATCATCCATCCCCCTTTTCACCCAAAACGACACCCATCACCAACGAGCCAATTCAACTCCACCTCAACCAAGATGAACAATGGCCTTGTCCCCGCTTCCAATATATATCGAAACGGGGTAAATAGAGTAGTCATTTCTACTCCGTACACAGCTTTACATTCGCCATCACACGCCAGATCATCTACCGCATCCGCAGCCATAAGCCATGTATGTCCCTGACAAACAGACGGCACCTAGGAGCATGCCATGTCGACCATCTACCCTAAACAGTCACAAACTCGACCAGACAAAGGCTCGAAGCTCCTCCAACCCCCAACAGTGACACCAATTCCCCCCGTACAAGGCAAGTGGATACCTCACCGAGTCATTTCTTCCCCGAAATGCCCCGTCCCCATACAGTCTTGAGGAAGAGAATAAAAAAAAAGGATTGCCCGTCCTGCAGCTGTCCAGCCGGCAGCGCACTTCACCTGGAAAACTCCAAAACTCGAAACGGCCACGTATACCCGGTTTCATGGTGAACAGCAGTGGACTTGTCAAATAGTCGCCAGGCGCCGCGCCAAATGGATCCATGGCGGCCGACATCGAGTCCTTTCTTACTCCGTAAGTACACGAGCCGCAAACGCCGGTCTATGCGTTGTGTACCGTCAAGACTCAAGTGAGACTCGACGCATGGGCCCAGGCGGCAAACCAGTGGAATGATGTCACTTGTCCGATACGCTTGCCGGTTTAATTGACCACTTTTGCGTCGCACAAAATAGTAATGCTGTTTGCCTCGTTGCATGCGGGCTTGCTTGGCCCGGCACCGGCGCGGGGACTGGTTGCATCCCACCACATCTTGCAGAGTACGTACGGAGCACCTATACGCATGAATTCGCCGCCACCGATGATGTGCCCGTTGATACGACCCGGGCTAGCCGCCTAGCGTCTCGAAATAGTCACATGCTTTTAGGAAATACGTAATTTATAGCCTAGCTATTGCATAGTCTAAATCGAGAGCGGCCCAGCTCTATTCTCTCTTTCTCGACCGTATCTATAGTTCGAAGTTTAGAAGAGATCAAATTCTATGCCAACCTCCCTTCGTCGTGCGAGTCTGGCTGATAACTGCTGTCCCTAGCATGACCTAGTATCAACGTCCCCCCGCCCGCTCTAGATATCCCGATATGACCCGAAATCCATCATTTCATAAGACCCGCAACATTTGTTCCCCCTATCACCTATCGTCTGGGAATGCTGGTTTTTCTTGCTTCTCTGGGTGGTGGTGGTGGTGGTAGTTGTTTTAGGATTAGATCCTCATGGAAACCGGATCCTCATGGAAACCGGATCCACATTCCCCATCATTCTTTCCCCATTCATGTTTACCCTACCATATTCCGCCTTGTCAATTTCATTCAATTGACCTGCTTGGAGGACTTTCGGCTGTGGCCGCCGTTAACAGAGACCTTGGATGAAGCACGCTCACGGCTGGGCAAATCAGTGCCGTTGGTAACACCATTGGTGGTGACTTTGGTGCCATTGGTCAGAGCAGAGGAAGCAAAGTTGAAGGACTGTGCCAAACGTCGCTCCTCGTTCCTGCGAGTGTTGACAAAGTCGGGATAGTTGAGCGTCAGTTCGACTGCACCGTTGACAATGTGGTCAACAGCCTCTACGCCCAGCATGAAGGAGTGGTCCTGGTTACCAACTTCATATCTCCAGCTGCCAAATCGACCACGAGACAGAATGTCCATATCCTGGAGCTTTGGTAGGACCTGCTTCAGCACGCCCTCACGCTCCAGAGACGGCGTAGGATAACCGTGGTCAAAGGCGCGGTGGTAGGTGGAGACGATTTCGTCTTCGGGCTTGAGCATCTCAGTATTGATCAATCCCTGGATGCTGTCCTTGAGCAGGTTTTCAACGTCGACGGGCTTCATGGAAGACTGCGAGACTTCCAACATGATGGACCAGTAAGGACCCTCCTTGGCCTCAGAAGACGTCTTTGTGCCGTCGGCAAGATACAGAGTGGGCAGTTTGGCGTCCTTCTGCGGCTGGTTGTAAGGAGAGTAGTTGGAGAAGATGGTGGCACGGTAAAATGGGCAGTTGTCCTCGGGGAAGTAGAGCTACAAGGCACAGTTAGTTTGTATTGTTCGATGAATGGGACCCAAAAGAGAGTAAATCTGCAGGCCTTACCCAGCACTTGTCACCGATGCGCTCGGGGCGCTCACCGCGAATACCAACACCAACAACGTGGGTGGTGGAGTAGAAAAGCTGCTTGGTAAGGCTCATGAGCTCCTGGTTGCCCATCTTCTCGGCGAGGTGGTCGACAGCCATGGTGTTGACCAGCTTGCCATAGCCAATAGTGGTGCCGTCGGCAAAGTGGACAACCTTGTTCTCAGCGTCGATTCTGGTAACCTCACCCTGCTTGCCGAAGCGCTTCTTCTCCTTGGGAAGAGTGTCGGCGACGGCGATCCAGATACCACCGGTACCATCGCGGGCGGGGAACCGGAAGGTAGCGTTGGGGCCCCAATTGCCGGCAACCTTGTTCAGGATGACATTCTTGGTGACGGTCTTGATATCAGGAGCAGCGACACGCTCACCGAGCCACTCGCATTGCATCTAGTTTGGTTCAGCCAACTTTGAGGACGGAATTTGGTAGTTATGACAGAGCGTCAACGGTGCCATCTTACCTTTGTGGTGGGAACGGCCCAGACCTTGTAGTTGTATGGGCGCATAAACATATCGGCAATACCCTCGCCCTGCATTCTCAGAATCCACTGGTCAAAGTCCTTGGGCTTGGTGTTGGCCACACGGCACTCCATGGCCGCATCAATGAGACCATCAATGGCCTTGACCTGGTCCTCCTTGGGCAGGATGGAAATGTTGTTCTGGAAGGGATAGGGGACCCAGAGGCCCTTGTAGCGAACGTAGGAGATGCGCTGGTGAGTGTACCAGTCATCATCCTTGGGAAGCGCTTCGTCGAGACAGTCGTCGAAGTACTTGTAGTGGGAGAAGATGACGTGGCCGCCAACATCGTACAGCTGTTTGGGAAGGGATCGGGTTAGCCTACAATTGCCTTTGAATTGCAAAAGGTCGCGCGGAGCGAGTAATGGAAGCAGCGCCAGCCAGCCTCGGGATGATGGAAACTTACGAAGCCCTCGTCGGTGGTATCAGTGCCGGCGAGACCACCAGCCTTGTCTGAAGAGTCAACAATCAGCCATGATGGGCCGTTCTGCGCGGTAAGAAGAGAAAAAAGTTAGCAATCGACCACCGCACTGGGATGAGAATCTGGCGGTGAGGGCCTCACAATCTGATTCAGTCGCTTGGCAGCACCGAGACCAGTAGGTCCCATGCCAATGACGAGGACATCAACGTTACTAGAAGAGAGGTGCGGTTAGTCTGACTGGTTTTTCCATCACGTCCCAATGCGCTCAATGCACTGTAGGCAGCTCCCGAGGGCAAAGGCGAGGATAATGGCAACAATCAACTCACATGTCGGCGCCCATGGTGGGGATTGTGATGCGGTGACGGCACAAGCGTAGATGAAAAGACTGGTAGGAGCAAACGAAGTAGCGTTAGCCACAACAAAATGCGACGCCTTGGAAATGCGATGATGCTGAAGGAGCAAAGAGGACAGACTGCGATCTCAAATCAGCGCGGGAATGCAGAGGGATGCCAGTAACGGTGACTGACCGACCAGTTGCTGTAGATATGTTGCCAGTGCTCAAGGAATTGTTTTTCTGTGGATCCTTGGACAGGCGGCTGCAGCAAAGGGGAAAAGGGGAGGGGGGCATGTCTGCTCCATGGAGGGGCTAAAATTATGCTGGATCCAGGGGTGGACGGAGACCAGCACTTACGGCCTGGTTGACATGGACCCCTCCAAATTGGGCAAGCCACTGCCACTGCCACTGCCACTGCCATCGGACCTTGAAAAAGGCTCGCGGCACATGCAACCAGCCATGCACCTTTAAAAAGGCTGTGGCTGTGGCTGGGGGCTCGCTCGTCGTGGTTTGCCCACGAGGTCACGGCCGCCATGCAAGATCAGGACGCCGCCCCCTTTCTCCCACCTTCCAAAGCCATTGACCACACACATCTCGCCCACGCTTCACGGGCCAACATTCCGGCGCCCATGTCCTGTAATATAGACAGGCAGGCATCGTCGACCGAGCGTACAACGTGTATGCCGCATACGGGTCGGTGATTACAGCCGAGTACTCTGTACTGGTCTGTACTACGGAATCTCATCTTGTATACTGCATATACCTGGAGCCAACAAGACAAGCACCTCTTGCTGCCCAGCGAGAGCTTAAACGAGTGGATACCACGCAAATCTCGACCATCGATCGTCAAACCTGTTGTTCACAGTGGTACGGAGCACTCCGTATATTAATTATGCCGTGGACCTTGTCTGCGCTATGGTCAATGGGATTTTAATGCCTACGACCCCAGAATGAGGAATCCAACGACCCCCAACCGCATCTTTCTGGCCTTGTACTCCAGCTGGGAAACAACACATGTATGACCGCGAGCTGCGCCGTTTGAACCTCGAAACTGCGTGCTCGTGTACAGGACACCTCTGTACCCCGTACGCGGCAGCACCCACCAGACCCCTTGGGCAGGATCTGCAGCTGGTAATAAACGATGAATGATCTTCACTCATGGACCAACACAATGCTAGTACATACGTACCACAGAACGTAATGGCAATGACACGACAACACGACGTCCCACTATTATTGTCTGTCATCTCTTTTTTTCCCGCACTATAGCCAGCCCCCAGCGGCCTGGTGAGCCAGGGTAAGGTACGTGCAATTTCCTGAGATGATGGTCACCAAAACGCCATTATCATCATTAATGGCGTTGCTCTGGTAAATATTGAACCATGATATCAGCAGCAGCTGTCCTTCTGTAACTACGACTGGTACGGAGCACATGATAAGCACTGGTTTGACTGTCGCCCATGCTGCCGCGCACCTGACTAGTTTGCCCGATGAACTTTCAAGGTACGAATGTTACAATGCACCAATAAGGAGGAACCGTGGCCACCTGGGGCTGGAACTGGAAGGCAACATGGATTCAAAAGTCTTGATATGCGAACTCTGAATTAGCGACTGTACTACGGAGTATATAGAGTGCTTGTCGGTTTACAGAGTGCCATGATCAGGGACGAGCCTGGCTCGCTTACCACGGCTATCTATTCCCAATGCCACGAAGATGCATCCTGCCTCGTCACCCCTTGCCCATGGTACAGAGACAAACCCAAGTCGGACAGGAGTGAGGACGAGCTATCAAACTGCCTGTCCGTATTACGACCTGATAGAATTTTACTCGAGAGCACTACGGAGTAGGTGTTGATCAACAAGCATGCAAGCATGAAACCGGCAAATGAATATTCGCAGTTGATATTTCCGAACATGGTCCGGAAAAGGCTTCATTTCTCATTGCAAGCATGTCCCAGCGTCATTTTTGGGAGACAGCCCATCCTGAAAAAGATCAACAGACGCCATGACGAAAAGCCGATAAGCCGCTCAATCAGAAGCTGACCCGTACTGCGGTAATGTCCACACTCAAACTCTGAAACATGAGCAGATCAAGATCGTCTTTGTGCCGTGGATCACAACTTGGGTGGCCATTCGTCCATCCCTGGCTGATGCCTCGGACTTCATCCGTTGTTGTTTTACCACGGAAAATTACCTGTTGCCATTTAATTACCATCAAACAGCCATACTTGCACAGAAAAGGGGGGGGGGGGCATGGAGCAGAGAGGGTCGCAATGAAACGGCCTATTGCTGTGGGCCGCTGAAGCCGCCAGGACCCACAAAAATGGGCAACGGGTTGGACATCGACATGACGGCGCAAGCGGCATGTTCGAACAGTACTCCGTGCTACGTAGTCGTTGTGAAGATCTATGGGTTGGCTGGGCCGGTGTTGTATTCCGCAAGGAGCACTCACTGAGCGCTGCCTCCATTGGACGTTGAGAGCGATCATGATTTTCCAGGGCGAAGCGCGAGGCCAGGTTATGACGGAGTTTCCTCTGGGAGCTGGAAGAGAAGTCGCTGCTTGTGTCTCTCTACTCAAAGCAGGTGGATGAGACAAGACTACCAACGTTGCATGCGGATTTCCGTCAACTTACTCGGCACTCGAAGCCAAATTCGATTGTAGAGCACGCCGGCAGCATATCTCAACTAGTACGGGGTACAGTGCGGGCTGCTGGCCGTCTTCGCTCACGCCCGAAGCGATTGTCAGGCTCGATACCCGCCAGGCGCCCGTCTCGGAACATGGGGCGGAAAGTCGCCTGCAAGTCATTCGAATACTTGACGGCATGGCAAACGACGGCATGCATGGTGGACAATGATTCGAGATGTCAGAGAGACAGATCTGGATTTATACGCATTGCCAAGCTTCGTCGTTAAAAGCTGGGCGCGCGCTAGAAACTCCTGGGGATGGGCGGTTGTGAGAGAAGGCGGGAAAGAAGAAGCTTGGCATGCTCGTGGCTGCGAGCCCCTGCGAGCCGCTCGTATGCCCCTGTCAAAACCCAAAATACTAGTGAAACTGTGGGCAGCATTGAAGATATGTGGCCATTTTCGTATGCCTCACTTCTGGTGCCGGGTAGGGACGTCCAAGTGGCCGTTTCAGCATGCCTCGATCGAGAACGGACAAGACGCTGTTCTCTTGACTCTCAAGACATTGGCCCATACGAGCATGACTCCCTCAATAAAGCACAGCAATAATGCCATGATATTCTGAGCCGGCTTCAGAAGGCCCAGACGTGATTCATTGCACGCTCGGTGCAAAGGAGCCGTGTTCCAAGTCGAGCATCCCAATCGACAGTCTGTCCTCTGGCCCCGAGTCCGAGTCAGGCTTTCTTGACAGCTGACGCAGCAAGGCCTGCGGATGGTTGTACAACGGAGGGTTTCCCTCCTCTTCTGTCTTCTTTTTATATCCTCTCGCTGTGAGATCTGCTGTCAATCTCTGCTCCAAAGCCTCTGGCCATGGATGATCCGTAACTCATACCGTCCGTGTATGCATGCTGTGCTAGCTCCACCTAGTCGCCCAGTCTCCCTGTCATGGCGGCGTCGAGCCTTATCAGTGGACGGGTAACATTCAGTCGGTTCTTAAACGTGGGTGACATCCGGCGGTGTGATTCGACACCCACCCACCAGGTTGTACCCGTTTGCAACACTGGAGTACTCGGCATAATCTTGGAGCAGACCGTTGAAATTTGGCGTGTTGGGGTGCTTTGCCGTGTTTGGGACACGGTAGGGCCCATGGTGCTTCAGCACTGGAACTTGTTGTAATCCGGACAAGAGTCGGCGTATTTCGACGGAAGATGACTCGGGAGCAGTTGGCGAGCTTCGCTTTGCCAATAGCACCGGGTTGTCGATCTGCTGCACTCGGTAGCCTGTCTCTCCTCCATCACGGCCCACGCACGCGCGTCACGAACGGATCCCGCTCCCACACCCCAGAGTAGGGTCCTTCGTGTTTCGGCACGTCACCGGAAGCAACACTACTTCGCCACCGTGCTTTCAACACTGACCATTCGAAGGCTGGAGCAGTGACCAGCGGCCAGTACCAATCAGCATTTGGTATGCTGACTGTGCGTTCACCAATTGACGCCGTGAAAGGGGGAGGGGAGGGCCGAGTACAGGTGGTGTGAACTGGTCTGCGTGAATGCACCTGCCCAGTAGTGGTCCATGTCCAAGACTGCACCCCCCTTGCTGACTACAGAACAGTGCTCCATACTGGCTCAGTGTTCCGTTCTGGCACTCCGTTAGCATGCAATTGAGAACTTGCTAGGGGGCTAGGGTGTGTGTCAGCAATTGACCAGAGCAGCCTACCAGACTTGTGTCAATGGTCCTCTTGTGCCCGCAACGCACTCCATTCCCGTTACTTTCCTCCCCCCCTCTCCAATTTTATCCTCCCAGCAAGACTAGTTCACCCTTCTCTTACGGAGTACTCCGTAGAAGCCTTTTCTTCTTGCTTCAACCAGTTACTCTTTATTTCCTTTGCGTGCCCGAGCCCCGGCTATCGCTTTGCACGATTAGGTGCCACCAACTAGACATTTGATTCTTATTCTTATTGATAGTCCTTTTCTCCCCTTGTTCTGCCGAAGCCTCGTCAATTGCATAATATCTGCCGGCTTCGCACCCACACACACTTTTTTTCCTCTCTCTTTCTTCTTTCCCCCTCCACCCAATCCTCCAACCTTTTTGGACCCAGTGTCTTTTTGCTAGAGGACACGGCAGTCCGTCCGCTCGTTTTGCGCGTCGCCTCAGACTCCTCGCCATCGTATGCATCACCACAACCTTGGCCACTACCATTGACGAAACACATCATCGCGCCATACATACATCCTCATCATGTCTGAGGAAAAGTCTCGCGTCTCTGGCGAGGTTCCCCGTGCGGAATCCTCGTCGCCCGTCTTGCCCACGGTCAACCCTGCAGTTGAGAAGCCCCAGCCTCCCAAGTCTGTGGTTCATCCTGCCTTCTACGTAATGTAAGAACGACAAACGATTTTTCAGCCGTGGAGGAGAATGCTATGGGTATGACATTGGTTGCTCGTACCACAGCGCTAACATGAAGTCTAGTGTTTGGATTGGTTTCAGCTCGTCGGTTATTCTGTTCAACAAATGGGTTCTGGACACTTTGAACTTCCGTATGTTTCCCATCCTCTGCTTTTGCGACTTATTGTCTCGGGGACTCGACAATGGACAAGTTGTGCTAATCGAAGTCGTCATCCAGGTTACCCCGTCATCCTGACCACCTACCACATGGCCTTTGCGACTATTGCTACACAGCTCATGGCTCGATTTACCCCTCTTCTGGACGGCCGAAAGACTGTCAAGATGACTGGACGTGTCTACCTGCGTGCTGTGGTGCCCATTGGCCTGTTCTTCAGTTTGAGTTTGATCTGTGGAAACCTGACCTATCTCTACCTCTCGGTCGCTTTCATCCAGATGCTCAAGGCCACCACGCCCGTCGCTGTCTTAATTGCTGGTTGGTCCCTGGGAGTCTCTCAGCCCAACCTGAAGCAGTTCCTCAACGTGTCCACCATTGTTGTTGGTGTCATCATCGCCTCGTTTGGCGAAATCAACTTTGTCTTGGTTGGAGTCCTGTACCAGATTGGAGGCATCATCTTTGAAGCTCTCCGCCTTACCATGGTTCAACGACTTCTGAGCTCTGCGGATTTCAAAATGGACCCTCTTGTCTCCTTGTACTACTTTGCGCCGGTTTGCGCCGTCATGAACGGTGTTGTTGCTCTCCTGTGGGAGGTACCTAAGGTTTCCATGACTGATGTGTACAACGTTGGCCTCTTCACCTTCTTCCTGAACGGTCTTTGCGCTCTGATGCTCAACGTGTCTGTCGTTTTCTTGGTAAGTAATATTGCGACAACAATACGTGGTTCTGTATAGTTTCAAACATGCTAACAGGGAACCCTAGATTGGCAAGACTTCTGCTGTCGTCCTCACCCTCTGTGGTGTTCTTAAGGACATCATGCTTGTTGTTGCCTCTATGATGATCTGGGGCACTCCTGTCACTCCCCTCCAGTTCTTCGGTTACTCCATTGCTCTGGGTGGCATGGTCTATTACAAGCTTGGCTTCGAGCAACTCAAGGGCTACATGGGCGAGGCTAGCCGACAGTGGGCCGAGTTCGGTGCTCGCAAACCCGTTTTGCGCAAGATTGCCATCATTGTTCTCGCAGTTTTCCTCTTCTTCTCCTTGTTCACTGCTCTGGCTCCCTCATACGCTTATGACCCTACCAGGCTAACCAACACCGTGGCTGGTCTCGGTCAGACTGGTGCTCAATAAATGACGAACCGTCAAGGCTTTGTAGGCGGGCGAGTGGACTTCGAGCCATTACATGCACTTTTTTCACATGTCAGAGATGCTATTGGGGTGTCAGTCGCGCATCAATCAAGGTGCTCAGTCTCCGCACCACGTTACTGTCAGCAGTAGCAAAGGCGTTTTTTATTCATGCTACTTCTTTCAGTGTGCTTTCTATTTTTGCCTTCATCTTTTTTTTTAAACTTCGAATATGCCATGACTTCCCGCACAGCTGTTGGCCAAACAAAAATCCAACTTTGTGAGCTCTGATTTTTCATTTGGAGACGAAAGGGAAAGTGGCTGTGAACTTTTTTAGTCGGTTGCAAGAGAGACGCGCCTCTCAATCGTATTACGCATATAGAGCAAACTTGGGGCGCTGGGCGCTGGAGCGCATTCCTGGGCGGAGCTTGCACGGGACGCGGCATTATGAAGTGTCTAATCTGATGTACTTTAGACGACGTTTGACCTATAGAAACGTAGAGATGAAATAGCCAAATTTGGGCAACGATGTTGATGCTGAGTGACCTGAGATTCTGGTGAAGCTGAGGCTGACTGTCCCATGAGCTTGCACGTCGGTCCAATTGACGGGTGACGCATGAATACAATGATCAAATGGACAAGTCACGGATCAATAATTTGATACACTTCAAGATGTGTCTACAGTCACATGTATCCACAGCTCATCTATCATAACGCGACAACGTCACGCCTCCAGTTAATCGCATAACTGGTTACAAAGGCTGTAGAATGGGTGTTCTACTCCAGAGTATCATATCCTGGAACAACACACCACAATCCCGGACAGCAACCCCCAAAAACCATGCAGTTTCAACCACGTAAACCAGATGCCTTTTGTTGCTTGTACCCTTTCCCGTATGCACAAGGTTGTGGGTCTTCACGCGGCAAAAAGAGCAGACTGGATGCAAAAAAAATAATGAATTTTTGGTTGTGTTTAATGAACTTTCATTTCATTGAGCCCATAACCCTTGCCATGCTGTTCACAGCCTGTGTCCTGCCAACTCCCAGTCCATAACGTTTAAAATCCTACAGCCAAAGTTAGTTGTCGCTCTCCGATTGTTGCAGAATCGCACCCCTCGCATTAAAGCAAGACACAGGAATTGACTGCGTGGCAAGATGGATGAGAAAAAAAAGACAATGGGAACACATACGCAGAGGGGTAAAGAACCAGCGGTTCTTGCCGCTTTTGTAGCGATCCTCCAACACAGTCTTGACGGTCTTCTTCGCATCCTCGCGCTGGGAAACCTCCTTGAAGGTCTCGCCGGAGATGGCGCCCTTGAGGCCCTCCAGCTCGAGGGTGTACCGTGTGGGCATCAGGTGGTTGTAGTTGATCACCTTGATGAAGGGCTTGATCTTGGATCGCTTCTCCTGGCGGGTCTTGGACATGCGGCGCGTGATCTTGGAGGGGTAGCGCTCGATGCCGGCGACGACGGCGTGGCCGAAGGGGTGAGGCTTGTTGCCGTTGTCGACGGGCTGGATGATGACGACCTGCAATGTTCCTGTCAGCGATTTTGTCTTCTTGCTGGTCGCGCGTCTCGAGTGATGCGTCTATTTCTTAATTGTCCGGCAGTGTAGCGAGAGTTGATTTTGAATCGGACTCCAATGCGTTCTTCTTTCCAATTTTCCTCATCCCGTCCTGTCCTCCAGCACTTTTCTTCCTTGTGTCATGCAATGGGATCCGGTTCGAGGATTGGCAAACGCTTCACTGCCGGGACAAGACGCTGTGTGTATTCTGTGTGTTCTTTTTAAATCGTACCTTCTTGCCGGCATATCGGCCGCGGGTGATGATGGCGACTCGGCCGACCTTGAGGAACTTCATGTTGTCCTGCTGTGTGGTCGGGATTGTGGTTAGTTTGGGAGAGGGTTTCGACGTCGTGGACCGTGGACCTAAGAAATTCCAGTGCAAATTTTGGGGTTTGTGGGTTTGGCAAATTTGGGGCAAGCGAGTTCATGTGCGATATCACGTGATGCATTTTGACTTGGGCTTGAGGTGCTGTGTGCCATGATTGGCGGATCTGAGGCCAATGATATGCAAGCTTCACACTCTACGTACTCCACAGTACAGCCAGCTTCTACTCCTGACAGCCCAGGTCGAAGCCTCATTCAGAGACCATTGCTGCACTCGCGCAGAGATTGCCACGATGCCTGCACCTACGTACATCATTTCAAAGATCGCTGACCCCATTTTTGCCGTCTTTATTGGCATATCAGCTGCGACCATGCGCATCAATCGGGAGGAAAAGGCCAAGGGGTACACCACCCAACAGACCATCGACAACGGCTTACGGTATGTAGGGGAGCAAACGATTTTTGGCATCAATACTCCGTACATTGCTGATAGATCACCTTAGGCGTATCGGCTTGTCCAAGAAAACGGAATGATGTTCGCATCAACCTGGAATCAATTAAACGCCTGCTTATGATGTAACCCTAGCAAATGACCCTAATCCGGCGCTCCAATAAATACCCTGGGGCAATAAGTCAGAGCTTCTTGCACTTTTTCTTCTTCTTGTTCTTGTTCTAGCTCCTGCTCAATGAAATTCTCTACGCATCAAAAGATGGCCCGTACTCCTTCTTCATGGCCTCCCGAACAATCTGTCCGCATAGCTTGGCTGTCGGGTTGACGCTCACAGCCAGCCCCTTTGCAATCTGATTACCATAGCGACCACCATACGCCAAGTCGTGCGAGGCAGCCTGCTCAAACTCGATGCGGTTCCATTTGGCCTCGGGTCGACTCTCGTCCATATCCAGCAGTCGGTCGGACAGCAGCTTGGACGTGCGGAGGTAGATGGCCGCGCGCTGCGTATACGCCATAGACAAGGTTCGTGCTGCTTGGGGCGAGATGGGAGTCGACAAGGTAGCCGGCGATAGTAAAGAGATGGATGTTTCCAGGTCTTGTAGGGCGCGGACGGCGGCCTTCTTCTTCTCCGTGGCGTCGGGCTGCTCAATCAGTGGCAGTGGTATGCCGGTGGTGATTTCGAGCAGCATGGCGTCTCCGTAGAGCCGCCTGGTGATTTGCGCGCGGTTATTCCGCGCGCTGGCGTACTTGGGAAATTCTGAAATGAGAGTGTCTAGCTCGGCAAGGCAATGTTGATACCCCTGTATGGCTGCTTCGTTTGCATCTTGTGATTGGGATTCGCTGAACTCGGTCTCCAGGGCCTGGATTTTGGCAATGATGTTGCGCTCTTGCTGCACAACCTTGTCATAGTCGGCCGAGTTGGTGACATGAGGGTCGCGGGGCAACGACTCGTCGGTGATGACGCCAGCAGCCGGGTTGGACTCGGGGTCCTTGATCTTTTCGAGGACGTTGACGTCTCGCGTGCTCAGATTGACATGGGCCATGGTATTTGCGTTGCAGTTGGAAGTGCGGTGAATGTCCGACTCTTATTTCGGTTCGGGTTGGTAACGTGAGTAAACAGATATGCGGGTTGACGGAGGGGCACTGTATGGCTACTCTCTCAGCCAGATTCCCCTTTCTTTTTCTTTTCCTTTTTCTTAAAAGAAACAAAAAACAAAAATATACATCCAGCACCAAGGCCAGGTGGGATGCAGACACTTTGAATACCGTCAGTGGCAAACCGGGTTCAGTGAGCCGATCGTGGACGTGCGGGACACCATCTCAAAGTTCGCACAACAGCGGCAAAAGCGGAACTCCCTCAAAGCCGGGACAGCTTCGCCATGTGGACCGTCAATGCAACCAGCACGCTCAAGGAGTGGCATCGAAAAACTACCTGCTTTTTCATCGCCCTTCCGTTCCCCGCCACGCGCCATGCGCAGCAGCGCCAGTAGATGTGGGGAATGCCGTCGAGTCGACGGTCGCATCGATCAGGGAGGCATGAGTCGCATGACGACGGCGAGAATGGCAGACTCCAGGTGGGCCGGCAACAGGCGGCTTACTTCGGCTGCAAGCCCGCCGTGCGGAATCGTGCCGTGACGGCGGTCGGCTCTGCCGCCGAAGATGGAGGGGCCGCTTCGGATGTGGAGGAGCGGCTCACGGCCCAGGCTGAGCCTCATGGCAGGGCGAGGATGGCTGCAAGTGCGTCATGGTTTTTTTTTTTTTTTTTTTTTTTTTTTTTTTTTTTTTTTTTTTTTTTTTTTTTTTTTTTTTTTTTTTTTTTTTTTTTTTTTTTTTTTTTTTTTTTTTTTTTTTTTTTTTTTTTTTTTTTTTTTTTTTTTTTTTTTTTTTTTTTTTTTTTTTTTTGTTTTTTTTTTTTTTTTTTTTTTTTTTTTTTTTGGCATGGGCCAGATCATGTCACTTGTAATACGCACCCGAGCATTTGCTACGTCCATCGGCCCATTGTCCCTGCACATGAGCATCGTTGCATGTATACCGCGGGCAAACACCGAGTAACAACAGAAGGGCAGCAAACAACATGTCCGGCTTCTCAGATGCGTCCGTACGCAGCAGTCCGGAAAAGCATAAGAAACCCAAAGATTGGCCCGCTGGCTCCGCCACAAGGGCCCCAACGTCCCGGTCTGAGTGAGACAAGATGATTTCCCTGCCGGGCCCCGATCTGGTTGTCCCCCAACGACGCCACCCCAATCTCGGCGGCCTAGCACTGGCATCCACCAAGCACCCTTTACTTAGACCGTGAGATGCCATGTGCGGGCGATTTCCGGGGGGAAGGGCGGCCGTCTGAACACCAGGCCAATCTTGCGCGAGAGGATACATCTTACGCACTACGGAGAAAAGCTTACGGCCACTTCGGGTTTGTGAATTAATAACCGCGTGCCAACGTCTGTCTCGCTGTGATGGAATGGGACGGGATTCCATATTAAAGGAGTTGCCCTTCCCACACACCCCTTGGCATCTTTTTGATTTTTACTTTTCATTAATTTTGTTTTTTTGTCTTGGTATGACATACAGATCATTCCATTACACACACAAACACGCACACACGCACGCACGTACCCCTTGCCACAGCCTTGTCTCCGTGACTACCCACGTTTTGTCTTCTTCCTCGCTCTTTCTCTTAGAAGCAGCGTAGATACCCGGGGTTCTTCTTCTGTGACGCTGGGAAGAGTCCATTGTGTCCTTTGGTTGACACCCATCTTACACAACATACACAACCTACAACAACAACACCCATCATCAACATCAACGCACACAAACACACAAAAGGACCAGACAGAAGATGGCTCCTTCAGCAGTCTCACCTCAACAGCGACCCGTCGACTCGGGGGTCGTCCAGCCCCAGGCCGGCAACTTCACAGGCTACGACCACGTAACGTGGTGGGTTGGCAACGCCAAGCAGGCGGCGGCCTACTACGTCAACCTCTTTGGCTTCAAGCACATTGCCTACCGCGGCCTGGAGACGGGCAGCCGCTACTTTGCGTCGTACGTGGTGGGCAACAACGACGTGCGCTTCGTCTTCACGTCGCCGCTGCGGTCGGCAGTGCACCTGGGACCCGAAGAGCCCATCAGCCCCGAGGACAAGACGCTCCTCCTCGACATGTACGCGCACCTGGAGCGGCACGGCGACGCCGTCAAGGACGTGGCCTTTGAGGTGGACAATGTCGAGGGCGTGTACCACAAGGCCGTCAAGGAGGGCGCCGTCGCCGTCCAGGGCCCCCAGCGCCTCCACGACGCCGAGCACGGCTCCGTCACGACGGCCGTCATCCGCACCTACGGCGACACGACGCACACGCTCATCAGCCGCGGCTCCTACTCGGGCCCCTTCCTCCCGGGCTTCCGGGAGGGCAAGAAGTCGACGGCGAGCGTGGCCCTGCCCGACGTGCGCCTCGCCCGCGTCGACCACTGCGTCGGCAACCAGGACTGGGACGAGATGGTGTCAGCCTGCGCCTTTTACGAGCAGTGCCTGTCCTTCCACCGCTTCTGGTCCGTCGACGACAAGCAGATCTGCACCGAGTTCTCGGCCCTGTCCTCCATCGTCATGGCCTCGCCCAACAACCTCGTCAAGATGCCCATCAACGAGCCCGCCGCCGGCAAGAAGAAGTCCCAGATCGAGGAGTACGTCATCTTCAACTCGGGCGCAGGCGTCCAGCACATTGCCCTGCTGACGCCCAACATCATCGACGCCGTCACCGCCCTCCGCGCCCGCGGCGTCGAGTTCATCAACGTCCCCACCACCTACTACGACACCATGCGCCTGCGCCTCAAGACGGAGAAGCGCAACTGGGAGCTCAAGGAGGACCTGGACACCATTCAGCGCCTCAACATTCTCATCGACTACGACGAGGGCGGCTACTTGCTGCAGCTGTTCACCAAGCCGCTGATGGATCGTCCCACTGTCTTTATTGAGATTATCCAGCGCAATGAGTTTGAGGGCTTTGGCGCCGGCAACTTCAAGAGTCTGTTTGAGGCCATTGAGCGTGAGCAGGCTGAGAGAGGAAACCTATAAAGTTGGAGAGGTGAGAAGTTGGGAGAAGAAGAGTGGAGCAAAACAATGGCAAGCATGTATTCTGTCGTATGGGCTCACTGTTGGACTTTTTTGTCATCGGGTGCCCCTTTTTTTTTTTTTTGCCTTTTCTACCGGGAGGAGTCATCGTCTTATTAATCACGCATGCATGGAATGAGCCTACGACGAACATGTCTGTCGCCTTGGTTGAATCTACTTATATTTTACGTGTCTGGTTGCGGTTCCATCAGCCGCTATTCGAGGGGGAAACAAACTCCATAGTCCAATTTTTCTCTCAATCAAAAAAAGTGGAAATGACCAAAAGTATACAAAATAGTCCCGAGGTGCGCCGTCCTTTTAAGTGAATATCAAAGCCATCCGTAGTCGGCGTGTTTCCAAAGATCTTTACCTTCCCCTACCCCCTCGGTTATACTGTGCGCCGGAATTTGTGTCGCTTGGTAACCCATGCTATTGTAAATTCAAAAATAGAAAAAAACCTCTCTTCTGCTCTCCAGATATTTCCCCGAGTGAAGGGTCAATCTGCCTACTTTACGTGTCCACCTCCATCGCCCCGTTCGTCTGGTGACTGTAACCGTTGCCGTTGACTGTCGCAGAGACGTCATGGTGGACGGTGCTCTGGCATCCCGGGCAATTGTGAATGACTTGATGCGCAAAGACGTCGCAGTCAATGCAAAAGTGGTTACCGCATACTTCGCAGGCATACCTCCCGCTTTCGCTAACTCCCTTAGCTTTTGGGCGGCGAGTGTCGTCTTTGGATTTCTCTACCCCGTCAACCTTGTCCTTTGGCGCTTCGGGAAAGGGACATAGACATGAGAAGCAGACGGTTGATCTTGTAGCCTCTGCCCACGACACCTCGGCCCAGTTTCGTAGAGGGAAGAGATGGTGATATGACCGAGCCAAGTGCGTGGATAGAATCAGTGTGAGTCCACAGGCTGGGCATTCAGCAGGCAATCGGCAGACACGCGCCGAACACCTCGTACAATTGTATCCCTCCCTGTGAGGTTTGCTGTGGCAGGCGCAAAAGCTAATAGCTCCGCCTGGTGCGAGCGTCCGTGACGGAAATCCCATCATCAGCAGGCTCGCCGTGTTTTGCTCCGCCGTCCTTGTCACAGGTGGCGTAGTGCCAGCAAGGAACAAGTCTCTAAAGTGAACTTCGTCCATGGCAATATTGTACTGGGAGTCATCCCCTGCATTCGTCCTGGAGCTCAAGTCGGCACAAATGGCGACTTGGGCCGACAGGCCGACGATTGAAACTCGAATCTTGTCTGCGATGAGGTTGGAGATGGTTTCGTGAATATCTCCAGGATCGCTCGACAACAAAGCGCCGTAAATGATGAGGACTTCCCGGGTTCCGTGCGAAGGCGTGTGACTGTAATCAGACAGAGTCAGCATAGCGTCAACTCACGACCCCTTCCTTTCTCTCCCCGTGGACGTTGCTGCAGAGGAAGCTTACAAGAGCGCACCGCGGCACATCTCCAGCGCATTCTGCAAACTAGGGTTTCCCTGGGGATCCTGCCCCTCGACTGCCTTTAGGCGTTCAATGTGCTCTGCGGGATTCCCACCCAGGTCGCTGATTCTAACAGCGATGCCATCTCTCATGCCAATTATCCCCAGCTGCGAAATGGGATTCTGCTCAAAGAACTCCCTAACAAACGCTAGTGCGTAGCTGATGGTCAGCCTGTACCGCGTGGGAAGCAAATCCTTCTCCGCCATGGCAAATGACATGTCGAGCACCAACATCATGTGCCGTATAATACCTCGCTGAAGAGGCGTCGTATCACGCAACAGCCGCCGGCGCTTCTCCGCTTCCAACACTGTTAGGTTAAGGATGCCATCCTGATCCTCCTCGGGCAAATTCGTTTCCCACGATCTTTTCGACGTTTCCCAAGCCTGCTCGCCGTTTCGTTTCTGCTTTCGCTTCGTCCGAGACGATTTACTGCGAGCCGACGGGCCCTCGTCGTC